TACTCCTACTGCTACTACTACTACTACTACTACTACTCCTACTCCTACTCCTACACCTACTACTACTACTACTACTACTACTACGACTACTACTACTACTACTACTACTACTACTACTACTGCTCCTACTCCTGCGCCTGCGCCTGCGCCTGCTCCTACCGCCACAGCTGCCACTGCCACTACCGCTACCACCACCACCACCACCACCACCACCACTACTACTACTACTACCACCACCTACTACTCCTGCTCCTACTCCTAGTCCTACGTCTGAGGAAATCACCACGAAGCTAGAAGTTCTCCAACTGAACATCCAGGGAATTCAACGGAGATTTGCAGAATCAGATAGACCGACGTCATATGTGTGCAGGGTTCAATGCCCCAGACAGAACATGATGTACAACAAAACCTTCAGCTTCACACGGCACATATCCGTAGCGATCACAGCGGACACGTGGGAGTACACCCAGCACTTACATTTGCTGCAGGCTGAGCTGTTTCGCACAGCCCCTGGGCGGCCGAGCAGAAGTGGGTGGTTGACGGTCTCTCCATGCAGCCCCAACTCCTCGCAGAAAGCTTCAGGGCAGCTCAAGGCTGCGAGCAGTGCCCTAATTGGGGAGGGCTCCCTCCACAACACCAGTCGGCTGTCAAAAGGGATCCTCTTGTCTTGCACGTGGCTTTTACTTCTTCGGCAGGTGCTCCAGAATCATTGAAGCTGCTAGTGGAACTAGGAGCTAGTGGACTGGCACGGTCGTCATTACCCAAGTCCAAACGTGCTGCGTCGCAGCCGGCATTGCTACGCAGTTGCCTGGCCGCCTTGCGACAGCACTTCGTAAAACAATTTCGAACTCCACCTCCAGACCCCACTGTGTCTTCCACAGCTGAAGCACCAACCCCTTCGGGGTTGACATTCTTCCTGGAGTGTGGTCCTAGCCTAGCGTGTGCTCTCGGCTCACTCTTGCAATCGACAAAAATTGCAGGAGAGTTCCAAGAACTACGGCAGCAGCGAGTACATAGGCATCACTGCTGCGGAGAAGCGGTCGAAACGACCATACAAAAAGGAACATTCAAGCCAAGTCCTCATCTACGCCAGGGGTTTGACGA